GGGAGGCCGCCGGCCCTGAGGGCCGTGGGGGCGGGCTGTTGCCTCCAGGGAGGCTCGCCCTCGCCGGGCGCCCGCTCCGCTCCTGATGGGCACGAGAGCGGGGAGGGCAGCAGGGCCAAGCACAAAAGGTGTCCCTGCGCTCATCCTGCCCCGTCATGGTCTCGCGTCACTTAATTGCCGCGTTGTCACCCTTATTTCTGCCGCCTGGAATGCCTCGAAGTCTTTCTTGCTCATTACCTGTGAACAACGTATATCAGCTTTTACTGTTGGGCTGATACAAGGGAAGCGGTGGTGAAGTTCAGGTTTCATCTCCAGAAGCAGCTGTACTGAGAGCAGTGGAAGCTGTCCTGGTGAAAACAAGGTCTTTATCCAGCTTACCTTGCGTGAGGAAAACTGGATCCCTCTCTAGACTTGTGTATCAGAATGGTTGCATCTGTATTTTCAGGAGTGGGTTGAAAAGGAGAAATATATCGCTTTGTGTCTACAAGGCACACAAATGGATGCCAAAGCTTAAAAGATGGGAAAACATTGTTCTTGTATTACAAGTTTTTGCTTGCTTCTGTCTGTTCATCTTCATGGGTCAGTGGAAAAGCTGAGAAGCTCTTTCATCTTTGCTTTTTCGTCTTTTCCCCTGTAATGTGCTGAGCTAGCTGCCTGTATGTCTACTCTTGTCTGATTTGGACATAAAGGGTGCAAGTACTGGGGTTTTCTTTTTTTCCTAGTGGCTTTCAAGGCCACTGCAGTTGTTAATGCATTTCCCACTAAAAGTAGTTTATGTAAGTATTTTAACAAAGTTTTATGCTTAATGAGAACATCTGAAGAGAGAAGATGTAAAAACATCCCAGGTGGAAGAATGTGCCTATTCATAATTAATAAAGCCATTCTCCTAAAAATATGTTTTTGTTTATCAGAAAGACTTTTTTTGTTTGTTTGTTTCTCTTGATCTGTAAATCGTCAGTTGCAGCAACAGGTATGGGCATTTGGAAAATATGATTGCAGTGTTACCAATTACTACCTTTATAGATTGTTCATATAGGTGAGTAGACAGTTGCACCTATTTTTATTTAACTGTGTTTTGAGAGATGGTAAATAGTGTTTGTTTCTAGTAATATATGAAAGCGATTTACGTGTCTGCAAACCATGAGGAGGACTTGGGTATGGTGGCACGAGACTGGTTCTACAACTGCGTTAAGGGGGCACTTTTCTGACAAGTATCCCTTCTCTTCTGCTGCTGTTAGTATTCTTGAAGTTGTATGGTAAGTTGATTAAAGAACTGATTAATCTGGGAAACTGTGTTCTTTCATTTCCTTTAGTTGAGCGGTCAGCCTAGTACTCATGTAGGTACCAAGGAGGGTGAATAATGTGTCAGTCAAAGCTGAGTGAAGTGTGAGACCTCCCTTTAGTGGCAGCGTGCGGGTATGCCAATTTAAAGTGATCGTGGAATCACAATCTGAGGGTCCTCATCTGCCCTGAATTTCTAAGCATCATAGAATTCTGCTTGTCAACTTCAGCAAATGGTACAGGCTATTTTAAACTTGGTATTTCTTGCCTATTTACTTTATTTTCCAGATAATTCCCATTTTGAATGGCAGAAATAGGAAGGCTTGAAAATATTATGCTATGTAGTTTGTTTGGATTTACATCCCTCTTGAAGACTGTCAGTAGCCAAGGACACTGCTGATGTTCTTTTTACAGTTTTAGTGGGAAATTGATTTTACACTGACATACATAGGCAAATAAATTATTTTGTCAGCATGATTCAGTTTTTGCCTTAAGGTGCCTTAACAGTGATATTATTTAGGTGATTGTGACTTTCCCTTTGGAACATCTGTCTCTTTTAATCCTGGTTTATTCACACTTTTCAGAAAAAGTCCCAAAACGCTCCCTGCCTTACTTCTTGTAGAACTGAATGGTTTGGAATGAGTGAGGTGAGGGGCAGCAGGAAGGGAAAGGAAGTTGAATACTGAACTGGGAAATGAAATTAAATGTCTTCCTATGCAGTCATCTAGGATATAAAACAAGGCCTTAAAACAAACTTTTTATAGGTCTCTATTGACTTTGTCATATTTTTCTGTTATCTCATTTGGGATGATTCATTTTTAATTGTAGAGTGCTGAGCACTTATAACTGTAATTATGACCGTTGGAAGGTAAATCTTGTGATAAACATGTGAAGTCGTGTTAAATTCAAGACACTGATAAAACTGGCATGGATTTCTTAAGTTGGAACCCCAAAATAGCTTTAATTTTAGTTCTTGTTGGTGTTCTCATTCACCTGTATTGAATTTCCCAAGAATTTTTTTTTGGGGGGGGGAAATAACAGATATTTGTAAGGACACATGCAAGGAACTGACAATGCCAGAGATGAGAGTGGTGTGGAAATCAAGCAGTCTGTGTTCAGTGTAGTGATGTGATTGTATATAATGCACTGTTTGGGAACCCTGAAATATATAATGAGAATGAAAGGAATTACTGTGTAGTTGATCAGTGAAAATAGTGAACGAGACAGTGGTTGTGGAGGCGGGGGGGGGGGGGGGGGGGGGAGGTTGTGGAGGCGGTTGCAGGGGAGGACTCATGGAATCATTTGTGTAAATACAGGCAGACTGAACTTTTCCTGTTCTCCAGTAGACAAGTACTGTCTATCTTCTGAAATGTATCGAATGTGTCACTTCATTCCATGGTTTTTTTTCATTGCCATCTAATGTTTTGAGATTTCCCCAACACCCTCTGCCCCCTGCCCCCCATAAGCTTGCTGGGTGTGCAGTAAAATCCAAAACTTAAGTGGGTGTCTTGTCAGTGAGGAAGTTACTTAGGTTTTATTTCTGTAACGCTCTAGCGAAGGAGAACTTGAAGTTGTTTTCCCAAATGGGAATGGATTAAAAAAGAAATATAGCAGATCCGGTAGCCATTGCTGTTGCTGAGGTGATAGGAATATGTTACAAAAAGTAAAATTCAGGTCTTCAAAGTATAATAGTAAAACAGCTTTGTGAAGGGTTTAAGATGTGTGGAATAGGAGCCTGTAGTTTAGGCTCAGGAATGGACACTAAGAATATTAAAAAAAATTCTGAAGAGGTATAAGCAATTTTTGTAAATGTTTTTATTGGGAACTTTTCGTAATCCAAAAACTTTAACAAGCTCTGCTTTTAACCTTGCTAGGAAATTGCAGCTCTCCCTGAGGTACCGTGGTAGCTGTAAGAAATAATTTATACTCTCACTTATTTTACTGTAATGCCTTGTTATTTCCTGATTGATCAACCTGAATTTGGAACATTATCTATTAGTACATCTGTGTTGGTTTCTTACATGCTGTGGGATGGCAGCCTGATTATTTGAAAGACTGTTTCTGGATTGCAAACTTTGCATAGAAAACTGCTACTCTTTACTTCAATAACTTAAATTTGGGAGCCCAGATATTTTTTTTTAAACATGGACATACTCCAGAATTTTGATAAATTTGTGTGTCTTTCAGTGTTTGCTGCTCTATAACTTGGAGTGAGAGGCCTGAATATTTCAGCTAACAAGTAATAATTTATTCTATGTATTCTATACTGAAGGGAAGAGGAAATTCATTCATTACCTACTCTAATGCTCGGTTTGTGGTGCTCTAATATTTTAAATAGAAAAGTATAAGCATGATGGCTTATTTTGAAGATTTGTGTGTGATGCCTTCCTCATTGGTTATCTTTCTTGTCTTCTCAGTTTAATCCCTTTTTCCTACTTTCTTACTGGCAAATAATTTTACCTCTTTTTATAGCTAAGAATATACGTCCTATGTTGTTTTGTAGTTCTTTATTCTGTGTCTGGAGAGTGTTTTCATTTATGTAGTGAGTGTAGTTGTTCCCCTTTGCCTTAAGTAGAGCAGGACTGCTGGAAAGGCTATGTGAGACAGTATGGAGTAGAGGTGGTGATCTGAGTGGCTGTGTTACCTAGTACAAATTGACATAAAAAGAGTTTTTCTTCAGAAGTTCTCTGTTTTTTCTTAATATTTCTGAAACTTTTCTGAGCAGTCGTTATGTAGCTTAGCAGTTATATATTAGCATAATATGTTGAACACCAATTGCTTCAACTTCTTTTGGGCATTACAGACCAATCTAGCATATTCATTTAGCATAGAAAGAATGATTTATAATACCTAACAGGAGAACACAATCAGAAGTCCATGTCTTTTGTTACTACCCAAAGATCAAGGCAAAGCTGAATCAATAGACAATCTGTTGTATGTTTTGTTTATTGCATCTTGGCATTTAAAATATTTGGCTTTATAGCTTGTTTTAGCTTATGCAGTTAAATTACTCACTATATGAAGTTGTGAGTAATAGAAAATACATAAGGAATTTGTAGGCTAGCAGGCAACTTAATCAGTTGAATATATGTATGAATGTTGTATTTAAGTTAAAATGTGTAACATAGTGTTTGACCATTATGGTTGTAATTGCAGCCAAGAGGCAACAGAAAACATGGTGCATCATTTATCATCACTAGAGCAATTACAGGTAAATATGACTTGTTCTTATGTTCATGACTCATAAGAATGATGTGTGGATTGCTTGTAAAATTTACAATTTCTGCACTTTAGGGTGGCTAGTGTAATGAAAATAGAGTGCAGGATGTGTTTTCAGGAAGATGTTTTCTCATTATTGATATCGCTATGTTATTTTTATGTCATTTTTGTGAGCTTTCTTGTCTCTTAGCTTATTGGGACAAACTAATAAATCATACATCTAAGAAGTTTAGAAACTCTGTTGTGTTTTGCAAAATGTTGTTGAGGTTTTTTTCTCTGCCAGCTCTTGCATTGGGCTGTTTGCTAGTTAGGCAGTTCTATAAGGAAGCTTTACATTATGGTCATGTTACATTGCCATTCAACACTTGGTTTATGCAGTAACTGAATTGCATTTTCATCCAGTAGGAATTTCTCTTAGAATTTCCAGAAATGTGTAGTGATTTTTTTCATCTGCCATTTGCATTTACTCTAATGTAAGAATTTATTGGCCAAGGATAGAGGGTTTTTCTCACAAAAGAAAAAGGTATTAAGGGAATTTCTGAGATTCTGTGTGCAGTAAGCTGGAGAGTGTTTTAAAACCGCTAGAGATGTAATTTTTCTTGTTCCACTGTAGGTCCTGCATTGTTTTTGCTTCGTTACATCTGGTACAGGTAGGTTTGATGAAAATAGTGCTTAATCTTTTTATCTGATAATATTTTTATAGCATTTTGATTTGATGGAAAGTTATTTTTAATGAGAGTAAAATTGAACACTTGTTTAGAATATTGTCCAGGCAATGCTTAGAATATTCTCTTTTCATAAGTTTAAGTTGTAACTACTTGGGTTGCAGCTGAAGCGTATCTAGAAAAGAGCTGGTGTATACTAGTTTGACTTTTCACTTTTATTGGAAGCCTAAGTAAACTTGCAGTTGGAACATCATCTTTCTCAAAACACATATTTGTTCTCCCCACTCCCATCTGAGATACTGCAAGTGAAGCTGGTTTTTTTTTTTAAGCCTCAATGACAGGTATGATGGCATGGCAGGATTTGCTTCCTCTGGAGTAATAATTTGGATTTTTTTTTTTTCTTGGCAATTCAAACTGTCATACAAAAAGCTTGATAACTAGTTGAGCAACACTCATGCCATTTATAAATTTAACTTCTGATTCAATGGGTCCCAGAAACATATTGGGGTAAATATGGTGTTCCTGGAGAATTTCAGCTCTATGGTTATACTACTCTGTTGATGCACTTGGCAGGTTTGAAGGTATCAGTTCTCCCTTTTTAGGGGTATTCTGTTGGTTTTGAGATACATGGAAAGGGACATTAAGGTGGCTCCCTATGAAACAATATTATACTTGAATTCAGCAGGCAATGCTGGTTTCCCTATTGCTGTTGTACTACTTCATTTTGCACCCCCCACCCCCCCTTTTTTTTTTTTTTAGGGGGTGGTGTTTATGGCCTCCATACCATCATATAAGTCTAGTTGTGAGGATTCAGTTGCAGACAGAATTAACTTATTTTTCTTCCCTCCCCTCCACTAGTCATATTTGAAGTCTGATTCTTAGTTTTTATAATTGATTCTCATTGCTATTTTTATGTATTTAATAAGTGTTTGGGAGGGAGCTTGGGAGACCTCTAGTTTAAAGTCCTGGTAAAAAGAGGGAGAACATTGAATTCAGACTAGATTCTTTAGGGCTCTGTCCAGCTAGGTTGTGAAAAGCTTAAAGGATGGAGATCCCAAAGACTCTCTGGGCAGCCTGTTCCAGTGCCTGACTGTCTTCATGGTGAAGAATTCTCTTCCTTATGTCAGCTTGGAACCTTCTCTGTTTTAGGATCATAGAATCATTTTGGTTGGAAAGGACCTTTAAAATCATTGAGTCCAACTGTTAATTTAACACTGCCAAGTCCACCAAAGGACTGATCACGATTTCTTGTGCTCCTGCCATGCACCTCAGGGGCTCCCATCTTCATGGTAACCTCCTAGGTATCAGAGAGCTGCTGTTTGGTCCCCCTGAAGCCTTCCCTTCTCCAGGCTAAACAAGTACAATTCCCTCAGCATCTTCTTGTGGGGCAAGTGCTCCAGTCCCCTGATCATCCTGGTGGCCCTCCAGTTTATTGGTGGTGTTCTTGTAATGGGGGGGCCCAAAACTGGCTGCTGACCAGAGTGATGAGTAAATAATCAGTTCCCTTAATATGTGGTTTTGTTCTGTTAATACAAACAAGGATGTTGTTAGCCTTCATCATTGGCAGGGTGCAGCGTTGATTAGTTGCTAAAACCTGCCAGGTGATTGATGGTTGCCTTAAAGCTAAGTTGTCTGGCATGAGTATCTCAGGTACTGCTTTTGTTAGGTGTATGTTCTGATTTAGCCTAATGTCTTTGTTATTTCAGCCCTGCAAAGTTTTCTCTGCCCACTGGACTGGTTCGTCTAGTTAGTAAGCAGATCAACTGGCACCTAGTACTTGCAAGGTAACCAGCTTATACGCTTTTCTATTTTTGGCAGTAGTGAATGTACTAATGCTTCCTCCTCTCCCCCCGCCGTCCCCGTTGGTAACAATGCTGAGTTAATATTGTGCTAAAGTCATGTTATTCTTTTTGGTCAAGAGAAATTCTGGAGGCTTTCACAGGTAGCCTTGGGAAAGAAAGGTCAGTCTGCTACCTAGGAGCTTCCACACTGCTTCCCTTCATTTAGTGCATCTCTCACTCAGGTCTGAATGTCCTTCTAGATTTTGAGGCAAAGTGGCTTGCAGTGCAATTGTTCTCAAGCTCAAGTCCTGAATTTGATCAGTTAAAGACCTATAACTTGGCAGGATATGTTGTATAAATTGCTTATTTTAAAATTTGTAGAAAGTGAATGCATACCCTCAAGACTTGTCTGCTATTGTATGTTTAGAGAAGTGAGAGTTCCAAGGCTAGAACCAGCTGTTCTGCAGTAATTTTAGCAGCATCAGTGAGATTACTGGCTTTTAAAAATAAGCATAAATGTGTACAGAAGAATGGTTCAATGACATGAAGGTAGTATGGAATGTTTTAGTTTATTAGGTATTATCGTTGAATATGATCAGTGGTTCAGCAAGAGCTCTGTACTGTTGCGAGAGATGGTGATTCTTTGAGGGAAGTGATGATCCCTTTTGATGCACAAGACAGGAGACCTGCTCCTAAGGAGATGACATAACTTGCTGAAGTATGATAGTTGTTTATTCCAGATAAAGCAACACATAGTTTTAGATATTGCTGTTATAAAATTATTCATAAGCAACATCTGATTCTGACCTCCCCTGCAGCAAGATTTCAGACGTTGTTTCTGTTTTCTTAGTGCTACTAGAATAGAATGACAGATACATTTCAGTAACATGAAGGGAATCTTATTATAGTACTGATTTTTTTTTTTTTTAAAGTACTGGTATTTCCCAATTTGTTTTGAGTTATGAAAGGCGAAATTTATATCTAACCTTGCAGAAAAGCAGCTAGAGCTCTGATGCACATTCCGTAAGGACTGGACTTTAAATGAACTTTCACACCTTTATTTTTTCTCTTTCAGCAATGGTAAATTGTTGGCAGTGGTTCAAGATCAATGTGTAGAAATCAGGTAACCTAGTATTTGTTGCTTCATGACCACTGTTGTGGAGTTCTGAGAAAGTGTTTCTAGCCATCTACTAACCATACTTACAAAGATTTTTTTTCTGGGTTTTTGGGGAATGTTATATATTGTGAAAGTAATCTGTGGAATAATCTTAAAATATATTATCATTTAGAAAGCAGAAGCCTTCTACTTCTTCCTAGTTCTTGGCCATTCCCCATTTGAATAAAACCACCCCCTCCTCAAAACCTCCCACAATTATTGTGTCCTGGTTTTGGCTGGGGTAGAGTTGGTTTTCTTCCTAGTAGCTGGTACAGTGCTGTGTTTTAGATTTAGGATGAGAATAATGTTGATAACACACCGATGTTTTAGTTGTTGCTAAGTAGTGCTTACACTAGTCAAGGACTTTTCAGCTTCCCATGCTCTACCGACTGAGAAGGCTGGAGGTGCACAAGAAGCTGGGAGGGGGCACAGCCAGGACAGCTGACCCCAGCTGG